CTGCGTCCTAAACAGGAAGTAGGCAGAGAGCCCGTGTGCCCTGCCAGGGCTCCACAGTAAAGGCGGGGCTGGAGTCCTGGCCCTCTGGACTGGGGGTGGTCACTGTGGACCCGGAGCTGCCCTTGAGACCCTGGCTGGGCCGTTCGCTGAGAGCCCATCACCATTGTGGCCCGCGGTCTCTTCCTCTGTATGCTGAGCGCTGGGATCCCTGGGCCCGAGTGGGGCTGGAAGGCACAAACACCTCAGGTGTGGAAGGGCTGCACGACGGGACCCAGACGGCAGCCTTTCTTGTGTCCGTAGGTGTGGGCAGCAGGGGCAGGGGTGGCCCACAGCCCCCCCACCACACTCGTGTGGAAGAGCCAGAACAGCTGGGGCACGGGCCAGAGCTTCCGGACTGTCCTGGTCAATGCCAATGGAGAGGTGGGTGCTGCCCCGTCTCCAGGTGGCCCCTCAGCCCCACCTGGCCACATGCGCGCACAGTGGGGCTTGTGCAGGGCTGCTCAGCGCCTCACCCGGGTCCACAGTGCACTTCACGCTGCAGCGCGCTCCACCCCACCTGCACCCCCACCCCCACCCCCGCAGTGCGCTCCACCTGACCGCCCCACCCCACCCCTGCAGTGTGCTCTGCCTGGCAGTTGTGGAGTGTGGGGTGCCAGAGCTGCTGTTTCATGCAGGAGGTGGCAGTGAGAGCCGTGACGCAGTCCTCAGTGATGCGGGAGACTGAGAACGGGGAGGAGGAGGAGGAAGAGGAGGCCGAGTTCGGCGAGGAGGACCTTTTCCACCAACAGGTAGTGTGGCCCTGTGCCCCCTGGTCACCAGTCAGCTCCCGGGGCAGAGGGGTGCACATGTACTTTCACATGCCCATATCACCCCATGTATACATTTGCTTATGTGTACAACCATATTCATGTACACCACCCGTATACGCATTTACACGTGTAGACACATACACTCATACACGCACACTCGTGTATAGTCCATATACACATATTTACATGTATACACCCACTCATAGGTATGCCCTCATGTACACACTCGTGTATACACTCCCATATACACATCATGTGTGTATTTTTCACATGTACATACCCCATATGTACACACTGACATGTACACCCCCCCCCATACACACGTTCACATGTACACAAGACATCCATATAAATGGGCACGGGCACACACCCATATACGTTGAAACAGACCCAAGGACACATCTGACCACACACATACACACCCCGGACACAGATACGCACAGCACGCACACACACTCTGCCCCAGCCTCTGGGCTACAGGGGACCCTCTGTTCTGAGCCCACACAGCACACAGCCACAGAAGTGAGGCCCCACTGCTCACCCAGCTCGTGGGTTCTGTGGTGGTGCAGGCGCTCGCCTGGGCATCCCTGGGAGGTGCTGGCTCCGCTGCAGCCCCGGTGGGTCCTCCTCAGCCTCATGCTGTCTGTTCCCTTGTCCCCATCCAAGATCCTGTGGCTGTCGGTGCAGCTGCTTGGGAAACGTGAACCGCAGCCTTGCGACGTGTGCACATCATGGCTTCTGAAATACAGAAGCGTGGCGGGCGCTATAGCCTAGTCGAGGTGGCAGAGACAGGAGGTTCTGGAAATAAAGCCATCTGGCCACGCCCAGAACCGCCTGTGGTGGCCCAGCTCTAGGCCCGGCCCATCTCCTCCCTCACAGGCGGGGGTGGGGCGCCCAGCCTCCAGCCAGCCTCCAGGGCACCCCTGACTGCTGCTACCTTCCTTCCTTTCAGGGGGACCCGAGGACCACCTCGAGGGGCTGCCGCGTGATGTGAACGGAGCCCCTCATCGATGCATCTGTCTTTACCCAGAGCCATTGACACTATTTTTCTATCATTGGCTTTCTTTAGTCCTCGATACGTTTCTAGAGAATTCTTAAGCAACTGCCAGGACATGGGGGTCTCTGTTGGTGTTCAGCACATGTGGGGTCCTCGGATCCTCCTTGCACCCCCTGTGCCCGGGAGGTGCTGGGCCTGGAGCTTGCCGGCCGGGAGGGAGGGAGTGTGGAGACAGGAGGGTCTGAGGGCCGGCTAGGAGCTGGGAGGGGACAGGAACAGGCGCCTTTGGGCCTTGGCTGGGCCACAGAGCCCAGAACTGTTGAGGAATTCAGGTTTCCTTGTTTTTGTTTTTAAGCTTTTGAAAACCAAATTCAGACCCACTTTTCGGCCTGGCGGGTGGGGTTAGTGGTCTGTGGGGTGTGGGGTACCCCGGCAGCCTCTCCAAAGCAGGTGTGGAAGCAGCTGGGGGTCGGCGAGGTCCAAGAGCAGGTGTGGCTCACTTAGCCTGGCTTCTGAGCGTTCATGTCATTTCTGCCTGGATGGTTTCTTCACCCGATACATTGGGGTGCTTTCTGGGCTGGGGGTCTCCTGAGTTCCGCTCCTGCCTGCCTAACCCTCACACTTCTGGGCCTCAGATTGGGAGCTTTCTGTGGTTCCTAACCCTGAACTCCTCCAGGGTGGGAGGGGAGGAAACGAGGAATGGAGCCCAGGCCCATTCTCAGACTTGACCCTGAGATCAACAGAAGGGGTACGGTTTGACAGATTGGTGCCACCTTAATGACTGCAGACACAGGTGCCTGAGTTGTAGGACAAGAGTCCGTGTGGGACCCAGCCAGCTCCTGAGCCCACCTGCCAGAGGACCAGGGCTGTTGTGACCGCAGCTGCTTTCCCTGTGGTGTGGCTGTCCTGGCCCGTGGGGCGGTGGCACCCCCCCATGCTTGTGCGCACACGTGTCCAAAACGCAGCTCCTGTCTAGCTTTCTTGCCACGATGATGTTTCTCAGACAGACCTGCAAATGCCACCTGGCCCCGAGTCGATGGCTCCCGAGCTCCCCGCCCCACTAGCTGCCCACCCACCCACCCACCCACGTTCGCGTCTCCATTGTCACTCCTCCCACCAGATACACAGAAGTTATTTTTTTAATGGATATTTATTTTTTTACATTAGTCAGTATGCAGCTCGCGGGGATCCCGCATATGGGGCTGAGGACAGGCTGACAGTCCCCTGAGGGCATCAGCGTGGTGGGGGGCTGTCCCCGGGGACCCCAAGACCCCACATGGCAGACAGCCTTCAGAAAGCACAGCTCCAGTTTTGAAGATGCTATACTGAGCCATGGGTAGGTGCTGCCCCTGGCTGGGGGGCGTCCCTGGCCCCCAGGGGGGATGAGGGAGTGTTTGCAAATCTTTCTGCTGGCCCTGGGCCCGTCTACCTGGCTCCTCCCCTACTGCTCTGCACCCCACCCCTCTGCCTTCCTTGGGGATTGCTGGTGGGAGGGGGGCACCCGAGGGTCATTCCAGGCCAGGGGGTGACATGGGGAACTGCTGCTGCTCCTGCATCCAGCTGCCCCAGCGTCCAGAAGTCCTGGGCTCCCCACGGTGACTGACCAAGTTCCCCAGGCCCAGTGCTTGCAGGGTGCGTCACCCAGAGGCTTCCCAGGGAACCCTTGAAGCTTCTGTGCTCCGTGTTGGTCTGCTGGGCCCCTGTGGGTGTGTGGCTCCCCTCCCTGCTGGCAGCACAGAGACCACGTGGGTCAGAGAAGGTTCTGGAGGGTGGTTTCCTTGTGGCCTCTGATGGGAATCCTGCACTGGCTGCACCATGTCATGTGTTTCGTAAACCAAAGCTGGCTCCTGGAATTTGGGCCTGAGGTTCCCTGAGCTCAGGGAAAGGAAGAGTGGGCCCCCACAAGCCCAGACACCCCAGAGATGGGCCAGGTGCACGTGCTTGCAGCTCATCCCCAGGCCTGGGTGTGCCCAGCCGGCTGTCTCTCGTTCTCACACCTATCCCATACGGAACCACGGCTCACGGGCTGGGGTGGTCCTGGCATTGAGGATGAGGATGCCCTTGGCTGGTGGGGTGGGTAGGCTGGGTGGCTAGTGGTGACAGGTATAACTGATGGTGGTCCTTGGGAATCAATTTTGTGGAAACAGGAGCTGAATCTGGCCTGTAACACGTCAGGCCTAAAGGACGATTGTGTTGGTCTCATACACTCCATTATGTCACTCACAGACTTGATTCTTTTGTATGTACCCACGTCGCATGACCCCAGGCACAGTCCCATAATTGAAATGCTAAGATTGAGAGACTGGAAGCTGGACCTCCTGGGTCTGAAGGAAAGTGGCAAGGGAGGGCAGGGTGCTCAAGGTTAAGGGCTGAGACCAGCCCCCTGGGTTTCAAAGTCCATCTACGGGATGAAGGCTTTTGACTTGGGTTTGCTTTTACCTACACTGAACCGCAGCGGTTCTGTTTATATTTTAAATAACCGAGCAGGACGACAGTGCTCACAGATTTGCTATTTAAGTGTCTTCAAGTCCCCATATGGACAGAGTCAACACTACCTGTAAAACACTCCAGCTGCGGAACCAGGGCTTGGGTCTCGGAGGTGGTGGCGGTGTTAAGGTGCATGCCATATGTACGGTCCTTTTTTTTTTTTTTTTTTCCTTCCTAGTGATTTGTAATATACATTTTTTGACTGGAAACTTTTTTGTACGCACTCAATAAACATTTTGATTTTACGTTCGGCCTCTTGAGTTTGCCGCAGTGCTGGCTGCTGGAGCCTGATCCCCTGCCACTAATGAAGTGGGCGTCTAAGAACCATCACGCCAAAATGTTATTGGCGAATGTAGGCAGATCTCCCCATGCATCAGCTAGACCGTTCCCCGTTACCCCTACTATGTGAGTACTAAGTCTTCCGCTTATTTATATGAGCCTCGGAAGCTGGTCCGTAACCGGATCCTGCAAGGTGCAGCGCAGTGTTGTTACGCATCCTGCGCATGCGCGGCAGGGTAGGGCGAGGCCAAGTGTGGAGCGACAGTCTGCGGAGTGTCCTCGGGCAGGCTTGAGTGCATTGTGGGAGTTGTAGTCCGGCCAGCTCCAACCAGCCGGGACTCCACTTCCCGTGGTACTGCGCGCAGACGACTTCCGGCGCAGGTACGGATCGGCGCACGCGGCCGCAGTCTGGTTGACTTTGCGTAGCCATGGAGGGCGGCTTCGGTTCGGATTTCGGGAGCTCCGGGAGTGGGAAGCTGGATCCGGGGGTCATCATGGAGCAGGTGAAGGTGCAGATTGCTGTGGCTAACGCGCAGGAGCTGCTGCAGGTCTGAAGCCGCGTCGGGGGGCTTCGTGAGTGGGGCAGGGGGTCCCTCGAGGTTGGGGGTCCTGACTGAAGGCCCGCGTGTCTCTGCAGAGGATGACGGACAAGTGCTTCCGGAAGTGCATCGGAAAACCGGGGGGCTCTCTGGACAACTCCGAACAGGTGAGGCCCTTGGGGTGAGCGGGCGGGGGTCTCCGGACCTCTGACCCGGCGAGAGACAGCTGCGCGTGCGCGCATGGGCTGGGCGGTGCGGTTGGAGGGCCGTGCGCGTGCGCAGTCCGTCGCTCGGGGGCGTCCACCTGGAGCGGTGGGCCAGTGGGCAGTCTTGGAGTGCACGCCGAGGGGCCTACTCTGAGCTCTTCTTCCCCCCGCAGAAGTGCATCGCCATGTGCATGGATCGCTATATGGACGCTTGGAACACCGTGTCCCGCGCCTACAATTCGAGGCTGCAGCGGGAGCGAGCCAACATGTGACCGGGATCCCTCCAAGAGGTCCACCAAACATCTATGTCCTTTTCCATAAACGTTCTTTGAGAATGACAGCAGCGAGTCGGCGGCCCTTTGGAGACTGCCCCATTGACGGGCATGGAGCCCTGCCGCGCCTGCCTCGAGTGTAGCTTGTGTCTGGGGGACCCCTGTGCCTTCCCAAAGGGCTAGCAGGCCAGGGGCAGTAGGTGGCCCTCCCTAGTGTGCCCACTAGGATCAGCCTCCTGCCTCAGGCAGGGGATCCTTGTTTGGATCTTGAGGTAGGGTACGGACAAACCCCTGGAGCCCACCTGAGCCGGGACCTCTTGAGGCAGTGAAATAAAACGCTGAGAGGGGACCCCATGCGTTTTCTCTGTGGGGGATAGTGCTGGTGTACCTGGGACTGCCACCCAGATGGGGCTTCAGCCTTTCTTGATGGGAGGTGAGGGGAACTTCCAAATTTCCCCTCCCAGCCCTGAGGCTGCCAGGCAGGGTGGCAGGGAGTAAGTTCAACAGAAGAGAGAGAGAGCTGACCCCCAGGCCCAGATGGGAAGGCTGAGGCCACTCCCCCCACGCCATTCCTACACAGGCAGCACGTAATTTCTTCTGTCCCCTGCCATCCTCCCACCATGAGGGTCGGGCAAGTGCAGAACCAGTAAGTTGAGGACGGGCCGTGTTTATTGGGACAAACTTTGCTGCAAAACACCCCCTTCCAGCAGCCTCCTCGCCCACCCTGTCTTCTTCTGGGAGGTTGGGTGACTCCTGCCGCCTGCCACCTGCCACCTTCAGGTGTTTTCTCCTGGGCATCAGTCAATCCTGGATGTTCTGCCCGATCCAGCCTCTCACAGCCGCTACCCGAGTGTAGACGCCCGGGAAGTGTGGCCGCCCGCAGCCATAACCCCAGCTGGTGACCCCTGTTAGCACCCACCGGCCTGAGGGTTCCCTGCAAGCCAGGGGTCCCCCAGCGTCACCCTGAGGGGGAAAGAGGGAGGGACACTCAGGGCAGGCCAGTGTTCTCCACCCCCTCCCCTGCAGTCCGTGGGCAACCCTAGGGCACTGACCAGTACAGAAGTACCACCTGGGCCCCTCTCTGTCTGACCCCAAGTAAGTGCCTGCCCCTGTGAGCTTCACTTTCACTATCTGGGAAATGGGTTCCATGCTTGGAGGACTCATTTGTCCAGCTGACAGACACTTCCCTAAGGGGCAACACGCGGACCCGACTCTGCCATTGCGGGTGGTGTCCGAGCCTGAGAGGGCTGCAGTGGCTGTGACATTGTCCAAGTCTGCCCAGGGGCCTGCCACGGAACCCACCACTGTCCCCTGACACACACACACCAGCCATTGTGTGACCCCAGGGGTCGGTAGGGTGGAGGCTGCTCGTGGTAGCTGTCCGGTAAACAGTGGTGTCCAGTGAAACTTTCCCAGGCAGGAAGGGGCCCTGCTTGGTTCAGGGAGGGAGGAGGCAGCAGTGCCTGGCTGGCTGATGGGCTTTGGAAGGACAGGGACGCGTCCTCCTGGCCAGTAGGGCCTGGGCCTCCGTGCCCTGAGCAAGTGCGCGGGTGCGGGCAGGCCTTAAGGGGCGGAGACGCCCGGGCAGGAGGGTCGTGGGGGCGCTCACCGAACAGCTATCCACGCCGCCCTGCGGGAAGCCGGCGCACAGCATGCGGCTGCTGATCTGCACCGGGTAGAAGCGGCGGCAGGTCTGCTCGCTCAGGAGCCGGACGGCCGCCTTCTGCAGCTGCCGCGCCATCGCGCCTGCGGGCGACACGGGCCGGGGAATCCCCTGCCCAAACCCCGCGGGGCCCGGGCTAAGGCTCCGTGGGACGGGCCCGCCCCTGACCCAGCCACCTACCTCCCTCGCGCACCGAGCCCCAGCCGGTGATGACGCAGCGCGCGCCAGCGGGAGGCCGGGGCGCGGCCTCGGGCAGGCAGATGGGCCGCACGAGGCGGCTGCGGCGCACGGGCCCCGCGAGCTCCAGCAGCGCCACGTCGTAGTCCAGCGTGTAGAGGTTGTAGAAGGGGTGCTTGAAGATGCGTGCCACGCGCTCCAGCTGCCCGTCAGCGCCGCTCAGGAACGGCGTGCCCAGGAAGGCCGCCCACTGCTTGGGGTCCCCATAGCTGTGGGTGAGGGCGTAGGCGTCGGCCGGACCTGCTCGGTAGGGAGGTGCCTCGGCGTCCAAGCCCTCTCCCCTCGGGCGCTTGGACATGGCACTTGATGGCGCTAGGCCTCGATTGATTTATCTGTGAACTGGGCCTACAGGTGGAATTCGCCCAGGCCCTGCGCCCCAGAGGTGCGCACCCCTAGACAGGCGTTCTTTCTCTCTAGGCCCCTAGTCAGGCCCGCCCTTCTGAGCGCCCTGCCAGGAAGGGGCCTTGGGTTGGGGGCAGGGGTGATGACTCCCCAGTGGGGGGCCTCTGGGGACTGCAGCCAAGGCCGATGAGGCAGGGGTAGGGGAGGATATGTCGCAGCATCCGCCCACGACCCCGATGTCGCTCGCGCGCCGCGGCCACAGGCTAGGTGGGGGCCACCGAGCAGGACTTGGCGCCTCAGCCCAGTGTGGTCGGGAGGGCTGCGTGGAAGAGGAGGCCTGGGGCAAAGGGAGCTGGTGACGGGGAGGGCGTTCCAGGCCGAGGAGCAGTCGGACAGGGGAACCAGGGACCGGGCGAGGGCCGGCGGACTCACACGTCGAAGCAGTGCGCCGCCGACAGCAGCCACCTCTCCGCCACCAGCACGGCGCCGCAGCGGTGCTCCCGGCGCCGCAGCCACAGGCTCACCTGCCACGGCCACTCCCCGCGTCCCGCCGCGCTGCCGCCCACGATCCTGGTCAGCGCCGCCGCGGGCGCCAGGCCGCAGTCTGAGGGCGGGAAGAGGACGGTCGGCGGGAGCCTCGGCCGCGCAGCGCCGACAGGGGGCGCCGGCAGGAGGCGGGAGACGCGCTCCAGGAGACTGTCGGAAGGGAGCTGGGCCTGCGCTTAGTCTTACAAACCAGCCTCTCTGGGCTTCTCGCCAATGACATCTGAATTTACCTGTCATTTGCCGTTGCTTCCTAGTACCTAGGCTTCGGGGCTGGGCCTCCTCCCGGTCCCGGGCCCAGGCGGGGCTGCGTTCTCTCCCAAGGCCACCACCTCCTCCAGCGGACCACTGCTGCCGCTGCCTGGGAGGCCCTGCCCGGCCCCACAGGCTCCTGCTGCAGCCAGGCTCTCGCCTGCTGTCTCCCCGGAGGTCTTTCAGGAGGTGATATCCTGTCTGACACTTTCTCTGGTCTGTGATCCCCTAGCAAGTACCCCACCCCAAATGTGGTGTCAGGCACAAGGCATCCCCTCAGAACTGAGATGTAGAAAGAACTAAGCAATTTCAAAGGGTGCTGCAGGGCCCCCCAGGACCCGTGGGGCAGCCCCTCCGCGGCGCCCCTCCCCACCCTCCCCCAGCCCTCCTTCCCGCCCTCAGCAAGTACAAAGGTTGGCCTGTGTTATGGCTTGAATTGTGTCCCCCAAAATATGCGTTGTAACTCTCATCGCCTGTACTTGCGGAGCCCTGGTGGTGCAGTGCCTGAGGCATTTGACTGCTAACCAGAAGGTTAATGGTTCAAACCCACCAGCTGCCCTGCGGAAGGAAGATGGGGAAATCTACTTCTGTAAAGATCTACCGCCTCGGAAATCCAGTGAGGGTTGCTGTGAGTGGGAATCAGCTCCATGGCAGTGAGTTTGTTTCTGGTTTTGTTTTTGTAGAAAGGAGCCCTGGTGGCACAGCTACTAACCAAACATCCGTGGTTCAAACCCACCCAGTAACTCTGGGGCAGAAAGGACCTAACAATCTGCTCCCAGGGATGCCACCCTAGAAACCGCGGGGGCAGCTCTGCTCCGTCACACGGGGTCACCGTGTGTTGGAACCAACTCCAGGTGCAAGACAGCCACCTCCTTATGTGTATAATCCCCTCTGGAAACAGGGCTTCTCTGCTACGTTAATGAGATCATATGAGCGTAGGGTGTGCTTTAAACCAGTCACTTTATAAAACAAAAAACCAAACTCACTGCCTTCAGTGAGAAAACACACTTGTTTGTTAAAGCAGCGCCCTGGTGGCGGTTCGGTTACAGCAGCCCTAGGAAACTAAAGGAGCTCTGGTGGCGCACTGCCGGAGGCACCTGACTGCTAACCAGAAGGCCGGCGGTTCAAACCCACCTGCCACTAGGAAGGAAGGCTGGGCAATCTACTTCCATAGTGATACTCCCTCGGAAACCCAAGAAGGGGTCGCTGTGAGTCGGATCCAACTTGACGGCACATGACAAACAAAACAAACAAGGAAACTAAGGCAGCAGGGAAAAGGGGTTCAGCACCCTCGGCCAGGCCAGAAGAGAGGGTGACTCCCAGTCCCATCACAGCCCTGGCACACTGCCTTTCCCCCAGGCCTGGCCCTTGTACTCCTGGGATGCAGACATGGACCTTCTGATGCCATGTTGCCCTCACCCCAGTCCAGGCGTCTTGAGAACCCATGAGACTGATGGACGCTGTAGGCTGTCTCCCTAAAACTCCACCTCCACCCAGAACCCAGCCTTCCACTGCGGGGCCTTTCTTTGGGCCCCAAGTTAAGAATCCTCAGGCTGTCTAGAAGAATCCTGATCAAAAGGGATTAAAATGTGGAAAGAATTGCTAATTTTCACGGAATCCACACCTTTTGGAGCCATGGAGGCTGGATGAACCCCTGAAACTACTGCCCTGAGGTAACCTTTAAACTTTCAACCAAAACTGTCCCCTGAAGTCTTCTTAAAACCAAACAGTAGTTTAGCTTTGTCCTTGTTGTTAGGGTTGGCTCTGACTCATAG